GGAAGGAAGGTTGGGCAATCCTACTTCTGTAGTGATACTGCCTCGGAAACCCAAGGAGGGGTCGCTATGAGTCGGGGCCAACTCGACGGCACATAACAACAACAACAACCGATTCCAGAAGACTCAAGTGGTACCTTAGAAAAGATTCAATCTCAACTTGGTCTCTAGTCTTAAAAACCTTGTTAATCTCTTTGCTTTCCCCATCCCTCCACTTTTTCCTCCTCAGAACATTCATTCTCTTTGGCTCAGCACGGATTGTTGCTAGGTGCCATCAAGTCAGCTCCAACTCATAACAATCCTACATATAACAGAATATATAACATTGCCTGGTCCTGCACCACCCTCACAATCCTTGCTAAACTTGAGCTCATGTGTGGTGGTTAAGGTTATGTGTCAGTTTGGCTGGGCCTGGTTTTGAATGGCTGGGCAGCTGGATGTAATATTCCCATGATAAGACTGTTAATCATCTCCAAGAGAATGTTCCCAATATATAAGGGAAAGCTTTAGAAATGGCCTGTAGCTTTTGGCATGCTTGAATCCTACATGGCAGCCTGCCATGTTGCCTGCCTATCTTGGGACACTTAATGGAACTGGATCAACGGCCTGCTGTGTGGTTTGGTAATACCAGGACTGTGCCTTTTTACTTGTCTGCCTTGGTTTGTCAGCCTCAGCAGCCAGAAGCTCCCTGAGTGAAGAAAGCCTCCAGCTTCAGTGGGCCAGGAGCAAGAGGCAGAGTTGAAGCCCAAGGTTAAGGGGCTTTCACTCAGCCCCTAGAGCCTGGCACTTTGAACTTGTACTTCTAGCCTCCAAAATGTAAGAGAATAAAATCCTGTTTGTTTAAGTCACGCATTTGTGGTATCTTCTGTTAGAGCCCTAAGTAACCAAAACACCATCGTTGCAGCCCTTGTGTCAAACCGTCTCGTTGCGGTTCTTCCCCTTTTTCACTGACCCTCTGCTTTACCAAGCGTGACATCCTTCTCCAGGAATGATCCTTTCTGACAACATGACCGAAGTAGGTGAGATGAAGTCTGGCCATTCTTGCTTCCAAGGAGCATTCTGGCTACACTTCTTCCAGGACAGAATTGTTCTTCTGGCAGTCCGTGGTATTTTCACTGTTCTTCACCAACACCACCAGCATGGATTAGACATAATAAATAACAAAGGCTTCCTCTCTCCCTTCTCTGTGCCATTGCTCTGGTCATTCCTTTCCTAAGATGTTCTCTACTTCCATGTGGGAAAAGCATTCATCCATCACTTCCTTTCAAGATTACTATTATGAATATAGTCAAAACACATATGTAATGCTTTCTAGTACCAGGAACTGTGCTAAATACAGATATTAATTAAATCTTAATTAAGCTTCACAACAGCCCTATTGAGGCAGTTTCCAAAGGTTTAGAGAGATTAAGTGATTTTCCCAGGGTCTCAAAGACAGTAAATGTCAAGGTATGGATTCAAACTCAGAACTCCTAAGGCCACATTCTTAATACTCTACTGCCTAGATCAATATTCCCTTTCTTTAAGTAGACACTATCGATCCTTTCCAATCCCGGACCACTCCACAGACCTTGTAATTGTTGTTGTTATGTGCCGTCGAGTCAAACCTGACTCATAGCGACCCTTCCTTGGGTTTCCAAGGTGGTATCACTACGGAAGAAGATTGCCCAACCTTCCTTCTGAGGAGTGGCTGGTGGGTTTGAACCGCCAGGCTTCTGGTTAGCAGTCAAGTGCCTTAGGCACTATGCTA